CATGTCTGATCGGTGCATCGTCTCCAGTAGCCGCCTCGTAAATCAAATCAAATCTAATTTATTTATGTTGCACATTAAAGCAAACTACCAGCACAAGTTACCAGTCAGGAAAAAGGCAAAACAGGATATCAGCAGAAAAGATCAACTCCTAAAATATAATAACATACTGAAATATGGAGGCCTTTAAAAGCAACCAAAAGCCACTAAATACATTGAGAGTTTTCTAAAAACTGTCAGTTGAGGACGAACATTTGATTGAATAAGGAAGACAGCTTCAGAGTTTTGGAGCTACTGCTGTAAAGAAAACCTCGTCTCACTCATTCTCCTCCATCGTGACGCATTTAACAGCTGCTGTGGAGGATCTACGAGGCCTGGAGGTAAATTAGGGCAGAGAGGATTCTGAACTGTACCCAGGTGCCAACTTGTGCATGGCTTAAAATCAATTCTGTATTAAACAGGTAGCCGGAGCAGGGACATGCAGGTCCAGGTGTGGTGCTCTTCGTCTGATTGGTACCAGTTAGAGGTGCTGCAGCAGAGAGGACGGACCGATGCATTAACTAGCTTGAGGACGTTACTGCGTCAGTGCTCACTGCGTTTGGGTCGTTTAAGTCTCAGTCTGGCGATGCTGAAGTGCATCCTTCTACCTGTCAGCGTCGTCGTGATCAAACACAGTCACTTCTGTTTCACTGACATTTACCTGATGAAGACATTTCTCGTCCATGCAGCGCCTCCTGGTGGTGAACTACCTTCATATGTGCTGTTTTTTAGCTGTAATATCAGAATAACTGGAGTTTATGAGCATCAGTCTGCAGGCTGATTGGTCCAGACTGACGTATCTCAGCAGCTATCACGAGGATTTCCATGACAGTCGTACAGATATTTAAGGTTCTTGGAGTGTTGATGCTAATTCTCATTTTACTTTTCCTCTACTGCCACTAACAAAGTTTTCCTGTGGTATATTTACTGGCTGGATCGCCTCCATGTCCTTTAAATACACTTATGTTTCCTGCAGGATTAACTTTGGTAATCAGTTAACTGAAAGCGTTCCTGTGCTCTCAGGTTAATGCCACTCAGCAACCTAGCATGCTAACACACGATATAAAAAGTTCAGTTTGGACGTGAGATGAGCAACGTTGCTGCTTCATCGTTCTGTTAAATCATCAGTCAGGCAGAGTTGGACCGGCCGCCGAGTGACGTACGCTACATGGCACCAACACACCAAAGACTTTATCTAAACTAACAGCGAGCTCAACGGCTTAACTGTCCAAACAACCGACAGTCTGGTTTATTAACACGGAAAAACTCTGTTCATGTGCGTTGAAACTCTAACTTCTACTTCACCATCAGTCGAACAGAAAACGTCCCGACAGCGGCGCCGGCGCTCAGGACTCGTCCTGAGGACGGCCGCGACGCAACACCAAGTACGACGTGAGACTTTCTGTTAGACTCCCAACAATCCTGTTTCCTTTTTGGGGATAATATTTAATTTAAAGTAACTGAAGAAGTTGCTGCTGTTGCTCAGCGACTCTCTGCTGATGTGGATCCTGCTGCAGGTTTTTACTGAACTCAGAGGAAAGACTCCTACAAACAGCCGGAAGCAGCAAACTGAGCAGCAGCTCCTCAATACGTCTAGTTTTATTTTTATTTTTTAAATCTTATACACTTTATTCATCCAAGCTGGGCTCAGAGTGCAGGATCAGCCTCACTGACCAGTCGTAGACACCCAGCCTTCAGTAGCCAACAACCGCTGAGTCACCGCTACCACGTTTCATGATGTAAAATTACAGCTAACGAGAAACTAGTTTTGTGGTTTTGGCACACAAATGATGTCTTTTGTGCTCTCAGTGATGTTTTTGGACGAATGTTGGCACTGAAATGTGGAGAAAACCTTCCCAAAACCTCTTCCAAATCATTTACTTAACGTACTGTGGCCTGTGCGTGCCGGTCTTTTAGACGTGTTTAAAGTGACGCAGCAATTTTACTGGCTCGTAAGATTGCTATGAGTTGCTAGGACGATCATTCAGGCATGAAGCCGGCACGTCCAGCTGCAGATTAAAGGGAAGGAGCGTGCACGTCTGAAGGAGGCTGAACAACTTGATAGCTGCTGCATCATCACGGTGAGACAGTCGGACGTCTCCGTAGAACAGTTGTGCATTAAAATTAGCATGAAAGCAACATTTAGCAGAACTTAACCTTCTTTTGTTTATCTGTAGTTTTCATCTCAACCCGATCAGTAACCATCAGACTGCAGTGTTTAATGAGACTCACTGTGAGGCCAAAACACACACACACACACACACACACACACACACACACGGACACACACACACACACTCACACACACGCTCACAGCAAGTCTGGCCTGATGCAGGACTCACAGACAAACAGCCAGATGGGGTATAAACATAGAGTGTGGAGTCGTGTGGAGAGCGTTGCCATCAGCCTGCCGAGTGAAGAATGAAGTCCTGCGCAGCCTCCCGAAAACATACACATCAATACACCATCAAAGGCCAAGGTGACAGACTCGCTATAGAGGGCCTCGCTTGCATATTTACCGGCCTAACATCCCCGTAATGCCGTCTGGTGTGTGTGTGTGTGTGTGTGTGTTGCTCGAGGTATGACAAACTAGGAAGCCGGAGGTGCACGCCCCGACAGCCTGCTCAAACCGCAGATGGATGGTTTACAAGTCCAACAGCTTTTGGGGAATTGCTTTTTTCGCCTTTATAGCGGCTAGAATTTATGTAGCGTGGGTCATTTTTTATCATTCCAAAGTTACACAAAAAAAACCAGGAAAAGAAAAATGACCAAATCACCATCTCTTTGTTGTTGTTTTAAATCTGAATGCCAGTTGTTTCAATCACACGGCGCTGACAGACAGATAGTTCAGCAGATGACGGGTCGTATCTGAGTATCAACAAGGTAATGACAAGGGGGAAAGTGACAGATTACGCCTCCGTGTTGCTCCATCATGCTCCAGCCTGGTGAAGGATGGAGGCAGCTACTCATCAGCGCCACCAGATAAAGAAAAACCTACTATGGATCTGTTTGTTTGGATCTATATGGAGTGCAGATGGAGGAATAAGGATGGAGATGTGGACGGAGAGATTGGCAGCTGGTATTGATGTGTTTTTTTCCGGTCCACTCACCTCAGATGAAATTTACCCCTGTTAGTTCCTGTTTATCTGTATTTACTACATCCCCACTCCTGGTGATTGGGAACATTGCCGGCATCCAGTGTTTTGCTATTTCTTTATTATCGGAACCTGATTGGCGTCATTACTCGTCTTGCTAGCTTAATGATCGCCGGCGTAGCAACAGCACTCATAGGCGCTCAGCTGTTTTATAAAGGCACTGAAGTTATTGATATTGTCCCTAATGTAGTGAGGGACAATTGGGCAGCGGGATGATGTGTGCACTCACCTCTGCATTTAAATTAGGCCTCAGTGTATAAGTAATTGCTTTTGTCTGATTCATACCGGCGTCGTGCATTCGGCTGACGTGAGTGAAATGCGGTTGATTTAGCGCGGCTAAACTCAGCAGCGTAGTGTAACCGGAGGATTTACGCTGCTCATTTCTCCAGGCGCTTGTCGCTGGTTATTTATTGCGGCTCGCTGGGTGCGTCGGCCATGACGGGGGGGATGTTTTTTAAGGCTCTTCGCTCAAAAGTATAGCTTCACGTTACACGTGTCTGAAATCCACTTGTAGATTTAGTGGCTTGAATGCTTCATGCAAATGTACATAATCGATATAAAAAATTTAGAGCGCCTTTAAATCTCCAGAAATGTTTCACCTTCGCTCCAAACAGTTGGAGATTTGACTTTTTCTGCCGGCTGGAAAATATCAACACAGTGTTTTTTATTGTTTCTAAATGAATGTGTTGCGTAGACGTTTGACACAACAAATGCTTTGACTTGTAATAGCAGTAAATCATACATGGAGCTAATAATGTTAATCATGGCATCAGCAATGATTTGTTAGAGTTTGTTATCACCTTATAAAGTTTATAGGTACTGTAAAAAATAAATATTTTAGTGGCTTTTAACTGTAATTTTAGAACAATTTACTGTTTTTCTACATACTTCTTCTGTTAAATTAAAGACTTCTAGTAAAATCACAGAAAAACATATTAATTTGTGTTACAGAACAGTAAATAATGTCCAAAATGTGTATTTTTACAAATATTTACAATAGTAACAGTAAAATCACACTACTTTTGTTAAATTTAAATGAGCAAAAAGGATTCTTATTTTACATTTACTTGCTGTTATTTGAAAGAAAAATATCTGTACTAAAGATTTTAAAAGGGTAAATAGGTTTTTAATCTTTTTTTTTTTTTTTTAACATTTTACCTGTTTTGTTAAATTGCAGATTTAAATAAATATAAAACCACAGAAAAACATGTAAAATAAATAAATAAATAAATAAAATTACTTTTTTTGGAAATACAAATTTTTGTTTGTTTTGTTTTTTACATTGTGTGGTTGTGAAAGTCACACAGTTTTGCTGTATTTAACTTCGCTAGAACATCAAATATTTTTACAGGTATTTGTTGTTATTTTCTCATATTTCACCTTTGCTGCAGTTTTTTAATGGATTTTTTTTTACAGTGTCACCCTGCAGACACAAAACAACACGAGCATTCATTTCTGTTGTTTCTGGCCAACCTATTCATATTAACCCAAAATCCATGCTACCTTTAGCTCTGTTTTTGCTCTGTGAAGGGAAATTATGTGCTTTGTTTATTTGCAAAGATGCTGAAATACCTGATGGAGTTGAAGTGAGCAGCACAATTAGTTCATGATTCCTTCTGTGTTTGTCACCACAGTGACCCCGTTCATGTTAAACATGGTCGTTTATATAAAACACTGATTTGTGCAGCTTCATGTTTCCCTCCACATCTCCCCGTTCACCTCCTCGCTACAGCTCTGTAACAGACACTTTCAGGAATGTTTTTGATGTTGTTTCTCTCAAGGACATTTAACTTTAACTTCCGGTGTCAGACATGAAGCTGGGCAGGAACGTGGCCCGAACCTTCCTGGATTACTACAAACAGAACAACTTCATCAAGGACAACCGGCCGACTCACATTCAGAAGTAAAACAGACACAGCAATAAATAACTCTGCTGCATAACACCCACTGTGTCTCTGTTTTGTGAACCTTGTGCCTCCATCGCCGTCGTTCACGTCGCTGTGTTTGTGTCTGCAGCTCCGAGGTGACGTCCCAGACGGGCAGCAGCAACGGGAAGGTCGGCGTCGTTGGCAGAGACTCGTCGGACAGAGAGAAGGAGAAGAGTATCAGGCACTAGACGGACTCAGACTGAGCATGGATGAAATGCAGAGCGCCGCGGCAGGAGGACCCTTCATGCTTCATCGCATTTATAAGCTGCACATCTCCCCGGCTATAAAGACTTATTTTCACAGATTTGTAACAGTGGGATGACTGCTAGTGGCGGCACTGAAATGCGAACAGGTTTTCCTCCTGGGTTATTTAGTGACGATGAAACGTGGAGTGTTGAAACACCGAAGGGGGGACAGACTGGTTATCCATTTAAATTCCATCTGAGGCCTTCATTCGGCATTTTTGTTGTAAAAAATGCATGCTTCCTCGGTCTTTGTGACTTATTTAACGCCGTCATTAGACAGTGTTATCGTGCTGTTGATATTATATTCAGTCATTAAACAGTTAAGCATTTAGTTATAAAGTTGTGCTTGTTGCTGTCTGAAATCAATACTGAGGAACCTCATGCTGCCTGTTTGGGGTCATCCGACTATTGATTTGACAGATTTTTGGATTTTCATCTTTTCTATTATTATTATTATTAGTTGTAGTTTTTAAAAAAAAAAAATCTGTTTCTAATAACTTAACTGTGTCTCTGATGCAGCAGCTTTTTTTCCACCTGTGTCCTCTGCAATGTGCCACAAGCAACACGTTCTGATTGGTCATGCATCACAACTAACAGCCAATCAACAACGCTGAAGGATAAATGTGGAAAACTTTTCTTTTAATTAGACTTATTTAAACCTGAGGCTGCACATATATCGTTTCAGCATCGGCAGTGCAACTTGTGCATGAGCTATAAGCAACGTAAAGGAAACGAAATGAACTCAGGTGCATCACGCGGCAGGTTTTTAGCTGCTTCATACAAAAATAAAAACCCACATAGTTGTCATTTTCTATGACTAATCTACAAGAGAATTGTGTCTGATAGAACATTATTGACTCCAGTTTAAGGGTTCTTGGATACGTTGTCGAGCAGACTCCACATGTGCTCACTGAAGAGGAAGATTTGGCTGCAAAAAAGAAACTGGATTTCAGTTGTAGAGCTATTAGCGAGTTACTAGTTATGATTTTGGGTTTCCACAGTTAAACGAACAGGACGGTTTGTGATCTTGATGTTTAAAAGCACTCAGCATACAGAACACAGCTCATGTAGATAAACTCATTTCCATTCAGCTTGTATAAATCTGTCTTTTATAAACTCATCTGCACTGTCGTCACTGAGGGGAGACTGGAGGCTTCTCTGATGCATGTGAGGCGTTTAGGGAACTTTGGTAAATTCTAAAATCTATGGATAAGCAGATGCATCGGTACAATTTCATTTACATTGAGCGTCTAGTAGATCTTCTGAATGCAGCTGAAGATTATTTTAAGTCTCATTTTAATGCAAAGTTTTGTACATTTAGCAGGAATGTAGCAGAACATGGAGGCAAAAGCAGTTCTCTGCTTATTTAAATGTAAACGTGAAAGAACAAATAATTCTGATAAATACTCCTGATCCTAATAATAATCATCATTTTAGCCATAAGTGTGCAGCCCTGGTCGGTTGAATGGAAATAGTTTGGCTACAGAACGCATGATGTTGATTTGATTAACTTAATTAGTTCGACCCTTTAAATGAGCGTCACAGAGTCAGATGTGAACGTCACCGAAAGCAAAAAACAAAGACTAGTTGCCTTTTTGTCACATTAAAATGGTTTCTTGTGGTTTGCACTCAAAAAAAGGTTTTAACTGTAAAAAGTCCTTTTTTAGCTTTTTAATTTAAAAAAAAAAAAAAAAACTTCAATTCAGTTATATGTACATAGTGCCAATTCATAACATACGTCATCTCAAGGCCCTTCACAACAGAAGGTCAAGACAGGATCATAAAGAGAAACCCAACAGAGTTTTGCTCTGATTCCCTTTAAGCAGCACAGTTTTTATTTTCTATGAAGATTCTCTAAAAAATCACCCCAGTTATTTTATAATGTTGAATTCTTTCCTAACTGAGTTACTAAAGCTACCTGATGTTAATTATGTTTTCATATTGCAATATATGTACATATATGTATATATGTATATGGCCAGAACACACAACATCACAATCTTTTCCAATATCATGCAGCTCCATGTAAAACAGGAATAAATGCATTTCACTGAAGTTTTGTGTTGGAGTTTGTGTTATTATGAATTTTGACACCAGAATTCATTATTTTTCTGTAAAAGTTTATTGGTTATTGATTTCCTTGTTTGATTAGTTTTAGCACGATTCCCTGGAAATCGCTTTGTTTACGTTGTTATTGTATTTCATGTGGATTGTTTTGCTGTGTT